TGATTTGTTCAAGTGATCTCAAGCTTTTATGTGTTTTTGATGAATATGTTCCTTGACCTGAGTCTTAGATGGGAACGCAGGGTGGATGCCATCATGTGGTTGCCTGTGGTTTGAGGTCAAAGGGAACGAGGTCGATTTGGATCCAAGATTGTCTTATATATACTTTTATTTGGACGCGTATCGCTACGATTTTGTTTTTAATTTCGTTTACAATTAATTAACTTTTTGTTTGTTTATGTTAGTCTTCCTCTTCCTATTTTCCAGTGGCTCTATCATCCTCTCTCGTGAAATTGGAAAAAAAACATAGCAACAATACCGATGTATTTTCCAAGTATATGATTAACAATATTTTCCAAGTATATGATTAACAATATTTTCCAAGTATATGATTAACAATATTTTCCAAGTATATGATTAACAATATTTTCCAAGTATATGTATTTCCAAGTATATAATTGGCAATGTATTTTCCAAGTATATAATTGCCAATGTATTTTCCAAGTATATCATTGACAATGTATTTTCCAAGTATGTATTTTCCAAGTATATAATTGACAATGTATTTTCCAAGTATATAATGAATGTATGTTCCACATAAATATTAAGTTTGACATTCCCTTTCAGAAAGTCCGTAATAGTTTTTATATGTAAATTGAGCAGTGAGCCCAATGTTATTCCGATTACTGACAGAACAGGAATGAGACTGTTGAATCATAATTTCTGAAAACATGTATCTAGTATATATATATTATAGTATATATAGTATATATAGCATATATATGTGTATACGCACACACACACATATAAGTGTGCGTGTGTGTATACAAATACATATACATATGTGTGTGTATTTATACGTATATATATACAAATACACACACATATATATTGAATACCTGAATAACATAACTATTTAGCATATGTATTAGTGTTTAGATATAATAATTTATATCTAAATATCAAAATGCAGCTCTTATCCACAAATACTGTTTATAAAGCAGGTGTTATGCAAAATGCTATTAACACTATTTCCACCGAGCTGAACACACCGAAAATAACGATTAATCACGAATGTAAATCGAATTCAAATGTTTAAAAACATGTCTATTATATTTTCCACTCTCGTATTTATTATTATCGTTACATTCCACTCATTACATCAATTCAGTGCTTATTTCTGCCCCCCTCTGCTGAACGTGGGCAGCTTCCAGGCGTTCTGTCAGCATAAACTTGACACATAAACTGCACGCATACACACACACACACACACACACACACACACACATACACACACATACACATACACACACACAACACACACACACATACACACATACACACACACACACACACACACACACACACACATATATATATATATATATATATATATATATATATATATATATATATATAAAAGCAATTATTACTTTCATAAGATATAACATGACATTTTGTAGGATTTTAAGGTAACATGCACTGATGCTGAGAGAGAGAGAGAGAGAGAGAGAGAGAGAGAGAGAGAGAGAGAGAGAGAGAGAGAGAGAGAGAGAGAGAGAGAGAGAGAGAGACAGACAGACAGACAGACAGACAGAGAGAGAGAGAAGAGAGAGAGAAGAGAGAGAGGAGAGAGAGAGAGCAGAGAGAGAGAGAGAGACAGACAGACAGACAGACAGACAGACAGACAGACAGAAAGACAGAGAAGAGAGATGAGAGAGAGAGAGAGAGAGAGAGAGAAGAGAGAGAGAGAGAGAGAGAGAGAGAGAGACAGAGAGAGAGACAGACAGACAGACAGACAGAAAGAGAGAGCGAGAGAAAGAGAATAAAGGGAGCTCCCTTTGGTCTTAACGGACGACTCTCTGCCCATACAACCAGCAAATAGCCCATGTAAAGGTCTTTTCGCTGGTTTGTGTAGGCGACTGCGTGGGCTAAAGGTCGTACGGTTTCATCCTCGTGTTATTGGTTATTGGTATCGACGTTAAACAATGTACAGCAATAATAACATTACACTGTCCGAGATTGATAACAACGCAAGTTCAGATTCAGTCTTGATAAGTCGGATATTACATAAACACCTCGAAATATTTTTTTTCGTTGATAGGGAACCCGCATCCCCTGTGTGAGGTAAACTACGGGATTGTTATGGAGACTCGGTTTAGTAAAATAAATGATCTGTTCCATCCGTACACTGACAGCTGATTCTCGATAAAGATGAGCTGAATGTTAGAGAAATTTTTAATTCAATTTCCACTTAGTAAGTTATCTCCTTCAGTAATATAATTGTAATAATATGTGTAAAAAATATTGTAATAATAATAGCAGTAATATTACAATAATAATTGTAATATTGCAATCATTACAATAATAATAATTGTAATATTACAATCATTACAATAATAATAATTGTAATAACAGTAATAACAATGGCAATGATAACAATCAATACAACAATGATTATAATAACAGTAATAATAATAGTAATACTAACACTAATGCTAACTGTAATACTAACTACAATGATAATTGTGATAATAACAGTTATGGAAATTGTAATAATAACAGTCATAATAATTGTATCAATAACAGTCATAATAATTGTATCAATAACAGTCATAATAATTGTATTAATAACAGTCATAATAATTGTATTAATAACTCATAATAATTATAATAATAACTCAAAATTATAATAATAATAATAATTAAAATAACGTAACAATTATAAATAACAGTATTGATTAATTACATAACAATTATAATAATAACAGTAATGATAATTGTATCAATAACAGTCATAATAATTGCATTAATAACAGTCATAATTCTATCAATAACAGTCATAATTATTATATTAATAACAGTCATAATAATTGCAATAATAAAAGTCATAATAATTGTATCAATAACAGTCATAATAATTGCAATAATAACAGTCATAATAATTGTATCAATAACAGTCATAATAATTGCAATAATAACTCATAATAATTATATCAATAACAGTCATAACAATTATATCAATAACAGTCATAATAATTGTATTAATAGCAGTCATAACAATTGTATTAACAACAGTCACAATAATTATAATAACAGTCGTAACAATTATAATAATAACAGTAATGATAATTGTATCAATAAAGTCATAATAATTGTATTAATAACAGTCATAATTCTATCAATAACAGTCATAATTATTATATTAATAACAGTCATAATGTAATAATAGCCTCAGTAACTGCCTCTACTTGACTGAACCTCACGAAATGGGAATGCGTGTCGGGTGTCCGCAATGCTCGGGGAATTCCCGTCTACCTGGAATGAATAACAAGTCACTTCTCCAGAAATGTAATCTAAGAAAAGATAGATTTGAATTCTTTAGTTCAAAAAGTAAAGAATTGAAATCTATCTTTTCTTAGATTAAAGATAGATTTCAATTCTTTAATTTTTTGTGAGAATGTTGAAAGATGCGTCAGCTGTAATTATCTCTGTTCGTTATATTGCAATTGTATTTTCTGTGTTTTATCTTGTATTATTCTGTATCGGGGAGACTTTGTGTGATGTATTTTTCATGAAGAAAAGAAGAGTATTCAGTAAATGTTCATTGTCTTATAACACATTAAGTATATTTGCATATAAATCAAGCTATTGAAAATATATTCTTTCTGACTATGCAAAATTTGAGGTAATGTAAATCATATAAAATTTGCAGAAGTAGAATCTGTTCTTGAATTAGATTAGTCACATACATTACACATATATATTTAAATGTATACAGTTTCAGATAAAAGATGAGATTAGTTTGAATTTCATTTAATAGTAAAGTGAAATATGTTCATATGCATTATTGAGAAACACAAGTCGGGAGTATATATAAAGTGTTAAAAGCATACCACAATTTACCGTAATATTTCTTCTTCTATATGTTTCGTATTGTAACCTTTCACTGAAACTGATACCTTTCTGAAGCTCTAATGCATTTGATGAAGATAACTGTGATGATGAATATTTCTTATTCATCCAACCCCTAACGCCACTTTCTATACAAAAAACAATTGACCTTTTCTTTGCGAGTTGATAATATTAATGATACAAGTAATGATAATAATAATGATAACAATAACAGTAACAATTGACCTTTTCTTTGCGAGTAGAAAGGTACGTTCATGCAATTCGCCAAACACTCACGCTGACGAGAACCACCAACAACTATTAATAACTTGTGTATTGTAGTTTCATACCACAATTCTTTCCCAACCAGCCACCTCTTTACCTTTTTACCTTCAAGAAATCTACAACGACCACCCATTTCCGCAAAGCTCTTAACCATATATACTTCTGCAGTTTGCCCAACACCTTGCGCGGTTCCTGAGGGTAGCCCGACCTCCTTGTCAGCCCCCTTTGCCCATCGTGGCCGAAAGGGAATAATGGATAACTTAATCACTTACATGAGAACCCCGGGATTCATTGCGTGCTCCAGTTGAATCCTATTCCTGCCTCCGGTTTGTACGCTTTGGGTCTTGGTGCTGCGGATTCGCTGGACTGAATCCCTCTTTGACCCGCTTGCAGGAGAGTTCGGTCGAGGTAAAGAACAAACGCGTTTACGTAACATTTTGATGCACGAGAGAGAGAGAGAGAGAGAGAGAGAGAGAGAGAGAGAGAAGAGAGAGAGAGAGAGAGAGAGAGAGAGAGAGAGAGAGAGAGAGAGAGAGAGAGAGAGACAGAGACAGAGAGAGAGATAAGTAGATGGAGAGAGAGAGAGATGGGGAGAAGGAGGGAGGAAGAGAGAGGGAGAGAGAGAGAGAGAGAGGAGAGAGAGAGAGAGAGAGAGAGAGAGAGAGAGAGAGAGAGAGAGAGAGAGAGAGAGAGAGAGAGAGAGAGACTATGAATCATGAAGTAAGAAGTGGAAGATACGATGAAAATAGATTATTTTCGCTCTAGAAATCGCCTCGATCATATAAATCATTCGGGAAATGCAAAGACATCATTTTGAATGAAGATGATGCTTCTGTTGGCAATAATGATGACAGTAACAGACACAAATGATAACAGTTATAATGGCAATAATAGTGAAAGTAAATGTATTAGCAGCTAGAAAAAAGTTAATTATGCATCTCACCCTTACGTTTGAAGGGTAACATTCTCGTAGAGGTTATCAAAGATGAAAAAAGGAAAGAAAGAGAGATAAATATTTAAGTCAAGAACATTTGCTAAAACGAGTCTCTTCGTCTTCTAAAACACTGACGTCTTGGGCGAGGAATCGATAGCGAAATAAAAGTGAGAATCCTTCATTTGTGACGGACTTTAAGTGAAGAAGTAGATATGAATCGTCTTCCGATGCCCAATCTCTCCCCCTCATGTTCTCGAATCCGTTGCTTTCTCGTGAGATTGAATATAAATAAACTACTTGTTTTTTTATGCTCCCGATACCACAAGCGCGATCTCGGGGCATGTCTTTTTCGAGGAGACATTATTTGGAAGCGTTTGTCTCGGATATACAAGAGTGAGCAAATTCCCGTGAGCGGTGAGCTACAAAAGAATCGCTATTCTTAGCAGACATTCCTCCTCCTTAACCGACAATACAAGCAAGGAGAGGCAATGTCACTCACTAATGGATTAGGTTATTTCTGTAAACAGTGTGGCATACTTCTAAGAAACACTCCTACACACGCATACATAATATTATACACACCATACTTATCGAATGAACTATTCAGTACTCCTGGGCGGTTCATGTAATCATTATCAGCTATCTAAAATTAACCTAGAATATCCTTAATAATAGTATTACAAAGTTTGTCACAAAAACATAACATTTATGATTATCAGAGAAGGTTGCGAGACACAGTAGCAGGTAACGAGATCTGTGTTTCCATGACAGCAGTTCACCATTAATTACTTCTATCAGAAATTTCCTGGAAGGTCAATTGAATTCCCTTTTGATCTAGCTCGACCACAGAATGCCTACTTCTACGAGGGAAATGGAAAATTTGGAATATTATTGGAACAGTTATTGATGCCTATTTTGTGTAAATGTTGTATCTTTATTGAGCATATAAGTCTGACATTATGAAAACGCAGTCTTTAATGTTTAGATTTTCCCAAAGTAATTATTCATTCCAGTCAAGTAAAGCGATGATGGTCTTCCGGAGACAGATGTGCATTGTGTTCTTTTCTGATAATTTGGATTTTGTGAATATGCTCAATGTTATAAATATATAAACATTGCATTTCATGCATTCTAGCCATTGTGGCTAGTAATACTCGTTGTCTGAATATATATGTTGCAAATTATATATTCAGTCAAATAATTGAAAATATGACCTTAAAACTCTGATCTTGTTCTTAACACCATCAAAGAGGTTACTATAATAATGATAATGTTGGGAGTAGTAGATAATAATAATAATGTTAAAAATAATAATAGTTTGCATATATTGATTTATTATTGGACATGCATACTATATAAAGTAAATATGGTCAACCGATTTCATTTCATTTCACTGGCATATGTCTGTTTATTATAAAGTTGTATTTAGCGCCCTCTATTTTCCTTTCCCTTCCGAGAATATGCTGGACCTTCAGGTGTTCCATCAGCTGGAAAATCCGCCTGAACTGTAATCCGCAGACCTTGCACCTGAGGGCGCCCTCCTTGGCCTCAGCGGAGGACCCTCGCTCAACGCCTCCCTCCGCCGACACCTCTTCAGGGCAGCCAGCCTCGGCCTGTGAACCACACGTGTTTCACCAAGTGAGCCTTTTGCACGAAGAACTTCCTGCAGACGCCGCATCCGAAGGGCTTCTGGTTGGTGTGCAAGAGCGAGTGGCGAAGGAGGTTTCCCTTCTGACTGAAGCGCCTGCCGCAGGTGTCGCATCCGAAGGGCCTCACCTCCGCGTGGACATTCTTGTGAATGAACAGATGACCCTGTTGGCCGAACACTTTGCCGCACACTTGGCACCTGAAGGAGCTTTGGGCGGTGGCTTGGGACTTGCGACTCATCCTGGAATCTGGGAAACAACTGATGGCTTTCTGTCTGATCTGAAAGTTATATAGGGAGCCTTCACGCGGCTCCCTATATAACGCGGCCTGGAATAAGTCACTGTGAAGGGGACGCGGTCTGGTTAGAAAAAAGTAATCAATCATTACAAATATACCTTTCCTTCTAAAGAAAGAGGATGTTTACAATAGCGAATCAAACCGAATTCTTTTCGTGAAAATCTTAGAATGCCGACTATAAACGCTTTTTCTTCCTTTTTTTTTTTAATTCAATTCCGGTTTCCACCTTATCTCATGTAGCATGTTCTCTTGTAGTAAAATTGCCAAGAAAAGAAAAATATTTCGATAGTTCATCGCATGCCCCCGACAGAATCGATATATATATATATATATAATGGGAAAATATTCGTTGCGTCATAACGAATAAAACTTACGCGGCACAAAATTGAGTTTTAGAAAGTTAATGGTCGACTTCACACTTTCTAACAAAAATTCATATTGCCGTTATTTTTTTTAGAGTTTTGTGACCTGAATGACAACCTTTATTCCTGTGATACCCATGTGTTCACGCACACACAACAGACTCTCAAAATGTCAACGTTTCGTGTGTTCTTACTAAGATATAATGCTATGATTGTTATGAGAACTGCAGAAAAAAACTATTAAGCAGTATTCTGTAATGTGTCCACTACATAATGTGTTGATACATGCACTATCCTTACCATATACAGTTAAAAGTAGTGATTTAGTTCTTACCATAATAGGATTACAAAGCATTAGGGACACAATAGCAATGTTTATAATTATCACAGAGGCTTGCGAGTGATAGCAAGAATAACTCAATTTTATTTATTTTTTTCATGAAGCTGATTATGAAGGACTCGGTACATACACTTTATTTTTAGTAAATTATTTGCTTCTATGATTTGCAACTTTGCAAGTATATTTACGGCTTGATGTTTCAGTTTCACGGGTAAACTATGATTTGCTTGAAAAGAATGACACTTGAGAGTAGATATAAAATTATTGAAACGCTGGATTATCACCTTTACTTGTCAGTACTGATAAAAATATCAATGTCACACATGTCGTTTGTCCGAAGTTATTCATACCTTCCCCTCATGTTTAAGAATTGGTTGCGTTTAAACGACTAAAAGAGTACTTTTAACGGGTTAACGGCCTTCCAGCTCAAGCTTTAATTATTTAATTCTGGTTTCCACCTTATCTCATGTAGGATGTTCTCTTGTAGTAAAATTACAAAGAAAAGAAAGAAGTTCATCGTATCTCCCCGGCAGAATCGATATATATATATATATATATACATATATATATATATATATATATATATATATATATATATATATATATATATATATAACGAGAAAATATTCGTTGCGCCATAACAAATAAAACTCACGCGCGCGCAAAATTGAGTTTTAGAAAGTTAATGGTCGACTTCACACTTTCCAACAAAAAACAAAAATTCAAAATTATATTTTAGAGCTTTTGGACCTTTATTTCTGCTATATACCATGTGTTCACGCACACGCAACAGACTCAGAATGTCAAAGTTTCGTGTGTTCTTACTAAGATATAATGCTATGATTGTTATAATGAGAACTGCAGAAAAAACCTATTTAGCAGTATTCTGTAATGTGTCCACTTATATACGCACTATCCATACCGTATACAGTTAAAAGTAGTAATTTAGTTCTTATCATAAGAAGATTACAGAGGATTAGGGACACAATAGCAATGTTAACTATCATAGAGGCTTGCGACTGACACCGTGTAATTCAATTTTAAACTATTTTTGTTTTCATGAAGCTGATTATGAAGGACTCGGTACATACGCTATATTTCTTATGAATTGTTTACATCTATCATTTGCCACTTTATAAATACATTTTCGACTTGATGCTTCAATTTCAAGGATAAACTACGATTTACCAGAAAAGAATGACACTTGAGAGTAGATATAAAATGATTGAAACGCTGGATTATCACCTTTACTTGTCAGTACTGATAAGAAAGATATATGAATATCACACATGTCGTTTCTCCGAAGTTATTCATACCTTCCCCGTATGTCTAAGAATTAGTTGCGTTTAAACGATTAAAAAGAGTACTTAATTTTATCGAGGTTCTTATTCAAACTGACCTCCATTGTTGATATCGACCAAAACCCGTGATCTTTAACTTTTATGGAGAGAGAGAAGAGGAAGGGGGGTAGGGTGAGGGGGCAACAATGAATTGTATATCACGCACCATATATTGAGGCGGAAAAAGGGGTAAAATTGCAGTACGGGTAAACAGGACAAGATCCCAACGCCATGAGCGGCGTCCATGGGTTAACTGCTATCCAACACAAGTTGTTCCTCAGAGGGAACTCCCTCACTTCACAAGCTCGTCTGCAGATTAGCTATGCATTATTCACAGACTGGCATGTGCAATACCAGTCTGGAATATATGCGATCTTTTAAGAAATCACCCAGATTTATTTGACTTCAACACTTTAGCATTGCATCTTGCTACATCGTATATCCTATACAACAAATATGATATATGTACATATATCACATACGATAAACATGGTATATGTATCATATATAATATATATGATACATATATATGATGCATATATCACATACAACAATTATGGTATATGTATCATATAATATATGATACATATATCACATAGGATGCATATATCATATATGTATCATATATAATATATGCTAGAACTTAAATTCAAAAAGTATTACGTCATTTTTATGCGATTATTCTCATTTGTCGTAGATACTGGTAGTTAAATACAGAACATGAATTCTCTGCTATACTGTTTTGGTATTTATTCATGTCAATAGCATGCGTGTTTTCAAGTTCTACGTAATGTAATTCATTCTTGCAGAATAAAATTGAGTACTGCATCTAATGACAACCTAGCTTCCTAGAAAATAGAATTTGTGTATGAAAAGCTTTCGGGGTCAACTATTCATCCATGATTATTACGGTAGTTTGCAAGATCAGGCGTCGGCAATGTACATTACTTACGATACAGTGTAATGTATATGAAATGTGAAGATAGTTTGAAATAATTTTATTAAATATTTTTTCCACTGGCATATCAATTACCTGCAAAGGAGAGATGGGGTACTCCGCGTCCTATTTGTTGAGCCTTCCGAGAATATGCTGGACCTTCAGGTGTTCCATCAGCTGGAAAATCCGCCTGAACTGTAATCCGCAGACCTTGCACCTGAGGGCGCCCTCCTTGGCCTCAGCGGAGGACCCTCGCTCCAACACCACGTGTTTCACCAAGTGAGCCTTTTGCACGAAGAACTTCCTGCAGACGCCGCATCCGAAGGGCTTCTCGTTAGTGTGCAAGAGCGAGTGGCGAAGGAGGTTTCCCTTCTGACTGAAGCGCCTGCCGCAGGTGTCGCATCCGAAGGGCCTCACCCCGCGTGGACATTCTTGTGAATGAACAGATGACCCTGTTGGCCGAACACTTTGCCGCACACTTGGCACTTGAAGGAGCTTTGGGCGGTGGCTTGGGACTTGCGACTCATCCTGGAATCTGGGAAACAACTGATGACTTTCTGTCTGATCTGAAAGTTATATAGGGAGCCTTCACGCGGCTCCCTATATAACGCGGCCTGGAATAAGACACTGTGAAGGGGACGCGGTCTGGTTAGAAAAAGTAATCACACATAATAGATATTTTTTTTCCATCTAAAGAAAGAGAATGTTTAACATAGCGAAGCAAACTAAACTTTTTTCGTGAAAATCTTAGAATGCCGACTATAAACGCTTTTTTTCTTCCTCTTTGTTATTCAATTGTGGTTTCCACCTTATCTCATGTAGCATATTCTCATGTAGTAAAATTGCCAAGAAAAAAGTTCGATAGTTCATCGTATCCCCGGCAGAATCGATATATATAAAGGGAAAATATTCGTTGCGCCATAACAAATAAAACTCACGCGGCACAAAATTGAGTTTTAGAAAGTTAAAGGTCGACTTCACACTTTCTAAAAAAACAAAAATTCATATTGCCGTTATTTCTTTTAGAGTTTTGTGACCTGAATGACAACCTTTATTCCTGTGATACCCATGTGTTCACGCACACAATACACTCAAAATGTCAATTTTTCGTGTGTTCCTACTAGGACATAATGCTATGATTGTTATAATGAGAACTACAGAAAAAAATCCCTATCAAACAGTATTCAGTAATGTGTCCACTTATATATGCACTATCCATACCGTATACAGTTAAAAGTAGTGATTTAGTTATCATAATAAGATTACAGAGGATTAGGGACACAATAGCAATGTTAACTATCATAGAGGCTTGCGACTGACACCGTGTAATTCAATTTTAAACTATTTTTGTTTTCATGAAGCTGATTATGAAGGACTCGGTACATACGCTATATTTCTTATGAATTGTTTACATCTATCATTTGCCACTTTATAAATACATTTTCGACTTGATGCTTCAATTTCAAGGATAAACTACGATTTGCCTGAAAAGGATGACACTTGAGAGTAGATTATCACCTTTACCTGTCAGTACTGATAAGAAAGAAATATGAATGTCACACATGTCGTTTGTCCGAAGTTATTCATACCTTCCCCTTATGTTTAAGAATTGGTTGCGTTTAAACGACTAAAAGAGTACTTAATTTTATCAAGGTTCTTATTCAAACTGACCTACATTGTTGATATCGACCTAAACAGCTTCCAGCTTATTATTTTTTTTCTCAGAGGGAACTCCCTTCACAAGCTCGTCTGCAGATTAACTATGCATTATTCACAGACTGGCATGTGCAATACCAGTCTGGAATATATGCGATCTTTTAAGAAATCGCCCAGATTTATTTGACTTAAACACTTTAGCAGTGCATCTTGCTATATCGTATATCATATACAACAAATATGATATATGTAACATATATCACATACGATAAACATGGTATATGTATCATATATAATATATGATACATATATCATTTATGATGCATATATCATTTATGATGCATATATCATTTATGATGCATATATCATTTATGATGCATATATCATATATATTTATGATGCATATATCATTTATGATGCATATATCATTTATGATTATATCATTTATGATGCATATATCATTTATGATGCATATATCATTTATGATGCATATATGCATTTATATGCATATTCATTTTATGATACATTATATTTATGATACATATATCATTTATGATGCATATATCATATATGTATCATGAAATATATATGCTCGATTTATTTGACGTGATTTTTTATGCGAGAATTCTTATTGGTCGTAAATACTGGTAGTTTAATACTGAACATGAATTCTCTGCTATACTGTATTGGTATTTTTTCATGTCAATAGTATGCGTGTATTCAAATTCCACGTAATGTAATTCATTCTTGAAGAATGATTACAACCTAGCATCTAATTACAACTTAGCTTCCTAGATAATAGAATTTGAGTATCAAAAGCTTTTGGGTCACCAACTATTCATCCATGATTATTACGGTAGCAAGATCAGGCGTCGGCAAATATACATTACTTAAGATATTGTGTGCCACACTCATGCGAAAAAGAGCAAACATAAATGAAATGTGATAATGGTTAATTTGATATAATTAACATTTATTCCACTGGCATATCAACTAGGGGTACCACGCGTCCTATTTGTCGAGCCTTCCGAATATGCTGGGCCTTCAGGTGTTCCATCAGCTGGAAAATCCGCCTGAACTGTAATCCGCAGACCTTGCACTGAGGGCGCCTCCTTGGCCTCAGCGGAGGACCCTCGCTCCAACGCCTCCCTCCGCCGACACCTCTTGAGGGCAGCCAGCCTCTGCCTGTGAACCACCACGTGTTTTCACCAAGTGAGCCTTTTGCACGAAGAACTTCCTGCAGACGCGCATCCGAAGGGCTTCTCGTTGGTGTGCAAGAGCGAGTGGCGAAGGAGGTTTCCCTTCTGACTGAAGCGCCTGCCGCAGGTGTCGCATCCGAAGGGCCTCACCTCCGCGTGGACATTCTTGTGAATGAACAGATGACCCTGTTGGCCGAACACTTTGCCGCGCACACTTGGCACTTGAAGGACCTTTGGGCGGTGGCTTGGGACTTGCGACTCATCCTGGAATCTGGAAAACAACTGATGGCTTTCTGTCTGATCTGAAGGTTATATAGGGAGCCTTCACGTGACCTTGAAGAGTGGGAATGGGGCCTGGAATAAGGCACTGTGAAGGGGACGCGGTCTGGTTAGAAAAAAGTAATCAATCATAACAGATATACCTTTCCATCTAAAGAAAGAGGATGTTTACAATAGCGAATCAAACCGAATTCTTTTCGTGAGATTCTTAGAATGCCGATATAAACGCTTTTTCTTCCTCATTATTATTCGATTCTGATTTCCCCTTGCCTCATGTAACATGTTCTCTAGAAATAAAATTGCCAAGAAAAGAAAAAAAGTTCGATAGTTCATCGTACCCCCCGGCAGAATCAATATATATAATGGGAAAATATTCGTTGCGCCATAACAAATAAAACTCACGCGGCACAAAATTGAGTTTTAGAAAGTTAATGGTCGACTTCACAAAAATTCATATTGCCGTTATTTCCTTTTAGAGTTTTGTGACCTGAATGACAACCTTTATTCCTGTGATACCCATGTGTTCACGCACACAATACACTCAAAATGTCAATGTTTCGTGTGTTCCTACTAGGACATAATGCTATGATTGTTATAATGAGAACTACAGAAAAAAATCCCTATCAAACAGTATTCAGTAATGTGTCCACTTATATATGCACTATCCATACCGTATACAGTTAAAAGTAGTGATTTAGTTATCATAATAAGATTACAGAGGATTAGGGACACAATAGCAATGTTAACTATCATAGAGGCTTGCGACTGACACCGTGTAATTCAATTTTAAACTATTTTTGTTTTCATGAAGCTGATTATGAAGGACTCGGTACATACGCTATATTTCTTATGAATTGTTTACATCTATCATTTGCCACTTTACATTTTCGACTTGATGCTTCAATTTCAAGGATAAACTACGATTTACCAGAAAAGAATGACACTTGAGAGTAGATATAAAATGATTGAAACGCTGGATTATCACCTTTACTTGTCAGTACTGATAAGAAAGATATATGAATATCACACATGTCGTTTGCCCGATTATTCATACCTTCCCCGCATGTCTAAGAATTAGTTTCGTTTAAACGATTAAAAAGAGTACTTAATTTTATCAAGGTTCTTATTCAAACTGACCTCCATTGTTGATATCGACCAAAACCCGTGATCTTTAACTTTTATGGAGAGAGAGAAAGAGAGAAAGGGGGGTGGGGTGAGGGGGCAACAATGAATTGTATATCACGCACCATATATTGAGGCGGAAAAAGGGGTAAAATTGCAGTACGGGTAAACAGGACAAGATCCCAACGCCATGAGCGGCGTCCATGGGTTAACTGCTATCCAACACAAGTTGTTCCTCAGAGGGAACTCCTCACTTCACAAGTTCGTCTGCAGATTATCTATGCATTATTCACAGACTGGCATGTGCAATACCAGTCTGGAATATATGCGATCTTATAGGAAATCGCCCAGATTTATTTGACTTCAGCAGTGCATCTTGCTATATCATATACATCAAAAGCTTTGGGTCAAACTATTCATCAATGATTTATTACAGTAGTTAGCAAGATCAGGCGTCGGCAATGTACATTACTTACGATAATGTCTTATGCAAAACAGAGCAAATAAAAATGGTATGTATAAATGATAATAGTTAATATGAAATTAATTTTATTTAATACTTTCCCACTGGCATATCAACTAGGTCTTGTCCAACGCATTTATCACAAAGGAGAGATGGCGTACTATTTCCCTTCCCTTCCGAGAATATGCTGGGCCTTCAGGTGTTTCCATCAGCTGGAAAATCCGCCTGAACTGTAATCCGCAGACCTTGCACCTGAGGGCGCCCTCCTTGGCCTCAGCGGAGGACCCTCGCTCCAACGCCTCCCTCCGCCGACACCTCTTGAGGGCAGCCAGCCTCTGCCTGTGAACCACCACGTGTTTCACCAAGTGAGCCTTTTGCACGAAGAACTTCCTGCAGACGCCGCATCCGAAGGGCTTCTCGTTGGTGTGCAAGAGCGAGTGGCGAAGGAGGTTTCCCTTCTGACTGAAGCGCCTGCCGCAGGTGTCGCATCCGAAGGGCCTCACTCCGCGTGGACATTCTTGTGAATGAAGAGATGACCCTGTTGGCCGAACACTTTGCCGCACACTTGGCACTTGAAGGAGCTTTGGGCGGTGGCTTGGGACTTGCGACTCATCCTGGAATCTGTGAAACAACTGATGGCTTTCTATCTGATCTAAAAGTTATATAGGGAGCCTTCACGTGACCCTGAGGGGTGGGAACGCGCGGCTTTGAACAAGTCACTGTGAAGGGGACTCGGTCTGGTTAGAAAAGGTAATCAATCATGACATTCTTTTCCATCTAAAGAATGAGAATGTTTGAAATAGCGAAGTAAACCAAATTCTTATTTGTTCTTAGCTTTTCGTGAACATCGTAGAATGCCGACTCTAAACGCTTTTTCTCCTCTTTATTATTCGATTCTGGTTTCCACCTTATCTCATGTAACATGTTCCTTGTTGAAATTGCTAAGAAAAGAAAAAAAAGTTCGAATGTTCATCGTATCCCCAGACAGAATCGATATATATATATAATGGGAAAATATTCGTTGCGCCATAATAAATAAAACTCACGCGGCCCAAAATTGAGTTTTAGAAAGTTAATGGTCGACTTCACACTTTCAAACAAAAACCAAAAATTCATATTGCCGTTATTTTCTTTTAGACTTTTGTGACCTGAATGACAACCTTTATTCCTTTAATACCCCGTGTTCACGCACACACAACAGACTCTCAAAATGTTAAAGTTTCGTGTGTTCTTACTAAGATATAATGCTATGATTGTTAGAATGAGAACTGCAAAAAAAAAAAACTATTAAGCAGTATTCCGTAATGTCCACTACATAATGTGCTTCTACATGCACTATCCTTACCATATACAGTTAAAAGTAGTGATTTAGTTCTTACCATAATAAGATTACAAAGCATTAGGGGCACAATAGCAATGTTTATAATTATCAGAGGCTTGCGAGTGATAGCAAGAATAACTCAATTTTATTTTTCCCCTGAAGCTGATTATGAAGGACTCGGTGCATACACTATATTTCTTATAAATTGTTTGCTTCTATGATTTGCAACTTTATAAGCATATTTACGACGATGTTTCAATTTCACGGATAAACTACGATTTGCCTGAAAAGAATGACACTTGAGAGTAGATATAAATATTATTGAAACGCTGGATTATCACCTTACCTGTCAGTACTGATAAGAAAGATATATGAATGTCACACATGTCGTTTGTCCGAAGTTATTCATACCTTCTCCTCATGTTTAAGATTTGGCTGCGTTTAAACGATTAAAAAGAGTACTTAATTTTATCAAGGTTCTTATTCAAACTGACCTCCATTGTTGATATCGACCAAAAACCGTGATCTTTAACTTTTATGGAGAGAGAGAAAGAGAGAAAGGGGGGTGGGGTGAGGGGGCAACAATGAATTGTATATCACGCACCATATATTGAGGCGGAAAAAGGGGTAAAATTGCAGTACGGGTAAACAGGACAAGATCCCAACGCCATGAGCGGCGTCCATGGGTTACTGCTATCCAACACAAGTGTTCTCAGAGGGAACTCCTCACTTCACAAGTTCGTCTGCAGATTATCTATGCATTATTCACAGACTGGCATGTGCAATACCAGTCTGGAATATATGCGATCTTATAGGAAATCGCCCAGATTTATTTGACTTCAGCAGTGCATCTTGCTATATCATATACATCAAAAGCTTTTGGGTCACCAACTATTCATCAATGATTATTACAGTAGTTAGCAAGATCAGGCGTCGGCAATGTACATTACTTACGATAATGTCTTATGCAAAACAGAGCAAATAAAAATGGTATGTATAAATGATAATAGTTAATATGAAATTAATTTTATTTAATACTTTCCACTGGCATATCAACTAGGTCTTGTCCAACGCATTTATCACAAAGGAGAGATGGCGTACTATTTCCTTCCCTTCCGAGAATATGCTGGCCTTCAGGTGTTCCATCAGCTGGAAAATCCGCCTGAACTGTAATCCGCAGACCTTGCACCTGAAGGCGCCCTCCTTGGCCTCAGCGGAGGACCCTCGTCCAACGCCTCCTCGCCGACACTTGAGGGCAGCCAGCCTCTGCCTGTGAACCACCACGTGTTTTCACAAGTGAGCCTTTTGCACGAAGAACTTCCTGCAGACGCCGCATCCGAAGGGCTTCTCGTTGGTGTGCAAGAGCGAGTGGCGAAGGAGGTTTCCCTTCTGACTGAAGCGCCTGCCGCAGGTGTCGCATCCGAAGGGCCTCACCTCCGCGTGGACATTCTTGTGAATGAACAGATGACCCTGTTGGCCGAACACTTTGCCGCACACTTGGCACTTGAAGGAGCTTTGGGCGGTGGCTTGGGACTTGCGACTCATCCTGGAATCTGGGAAACAACTGATGGCTTTCTGTCTGGTCTGAAGGTTATATAGGGAGCCTTCACGTGACCTTGAAGAGTGGGAACGCGGCCTGGAATAAGGCACTGTGAAGGGGACTCGGTCTGGTTAGTCATCGATCATAACAGATAGTCCTTCCCATCCAAAGAGAGAGAGAGAATACCAAAAAAAAAAAAAAATTCTTCGGTCTTAGCGTTTTAGTGAGAATCTTTAAATGCCCGTTACAAATATTTTTTCTATTCTTGTTTCTGTGATACCCATGTGTTCACACACACTCTAGACTCTAAGAATATCAGTTTCGTGTGTTAATAGTAAGAGTTAATGTTATGATTGTTTTAATGACAACTGCAAAAAAAAAAAAAAAAAAAAAAAAAATCAATACCCTATTAAATATTCACTTATGTGCCCACTACATATTGCACTTACGCATCCAATATCCCTAGTGTATACATTTGAAAGCGGTATCGATTTAATTCTTACCCTAATGATATTACAGAGTTTTAGGGACACAACAATGTTTACAACCATCACAAGGGCTCGCGACGCACAGGAAGCGCAATTTAATTTTAATTTCTTTTTATTTCCATGACGCTGATTATGAAGGACTCGGTACATACGCTATATTTCTAGCAGATTATGTGCCTATCTAATTTAAAACTTTACAAGTATATATACGACTTGATGTTTCAATTTCAGGGCTAAACTATGATTTGTTTGAAAAGAATGAATAATACTCGAGAATAAAAATAATGACTGAAACGCTGGATAATCACCTTTACCTGTCAATACTGATGAGAAAGATATATGAATGTCATTGTCGTTTGTGCGAAGTTGTTCATGTTGAAAAGATTTAAAATGAAAGCCAATTATTTCCGTCAATTTTTTCAGCCAAGCATAGTCAAATCAAGAACTATATTCTAGAATGTTTGTATTGATGTTAAAAAAAAAAAAAAAAAAAATTGATGGAAAAAGTGCTTGTGTGACAGCACTTTAATGGCCATGATGATAACAACCCTTACAAGTTCCAACTCATAGCATTCCCTCATCATCATGTTTAGACGTAAAATGAAAATGACTTTTAATTATTTTTTTTTTATCAAAACCTTTATCAATAATCACCTATATACCTTACATTCTAGACAAAGAAAGTATTTTAAGAAGCGTATAACTCGGCATGAATGCGGTATAATGTGCGAATCTCTTACAATATTTGATAGTTCCTTTAAATTATAGTTTAATACCATTCCTTCTTTCAACTAATCTTCTCTTTACCTCATCTTCAACTGCCTATTTCCGCAATCTGTACTCCCCCCCTAAAAAAAAAAAAGGCAAATTGCAATTACTACCATTTTCTGCAGTCTCTCCCCCCAAAAAAAAAAAAAAACCGCGTGCTGATGCTACTACCCCTTTCCCTCCGCCCCCCCCTTTTGCCCTGGCGTGGCCGAAACGGAATAATGGACAACATTATCACTCACGTCAGAGCTCCGGGATTAATTGCGTGCACCAGTTGAAACCCGTTCCTGTTTTCGGTGTATACGCGGGGTCCCTTTGTGCAATGATGATGTTGATTCCCGATAATGAACTGAATCCCTCTTTGACCGCTTAAAAGAGGGAGTTTGTTTTGGATTTAGTTTATAAAGCGATGTGTAGAATAAACGTATTTACCTGACTGGTCAAGAGTAAAATATCCTGCACATGTCGATGTGTGAGTGAAAGGGAGCGACTTAGAGGAGAAGGAAGAGGGAGGGAGGAAGGAAGGAAGGAAGGAAGGAAGGAAGGAAGGAAGGAAGGAAGGAAGGAAGGAAGGAAAGGAAGGAAGGAGGAAGGAAAGGAAAGGAAGGAGGGAAGGAAGGAAGGAGGAAGGAAGGAAGGAAGGAAGGAAGGAAGGAGAGAGAGAGAGAGAGAGAGAGAGAGAGAGAGAGAGAGAGAGAGAAGGGGAGGGAGGAGAGGGATGGGGAGGGAGGAGGAAGGAAGGAAGAATGGAGGGGAGGAAGGAGGGTTGGGATGGGAGAGAGAGAGAGAGAGAGAGATAGAGAGAGAAGATGAGAGAAGATGAGAAGGGGATAGAGGGAATGAAGGGAGGGAGGGAGGGGAGGGGAAGGGAGAGAGGGAGAGAGAAAGAGAGAGAGGGACGAGGAAAGAGGAGAGAGAGAAGAGAGAGAGAGAGAGAGAGAGAGAGAGAGAGAGAGAGAGAGAGAGAGAGAGAGAGAGAGAGAGAGAGAGAGAGAGAGGAGGAGAGAGACGAGAGAGAGAGGGAGAGAGAGGAGAGAGAGGAGGAGACGAGAGAGAGAGAAGATACGTTGAAAACACATTTATAAATCACCGATCACTTAATGAATTTGGCAAATTCAAACACGATAATGA